GTTCCATGGACAATTGATTTGCCGGAAGTGAGACAATATTTTTTCGAAAAATATAATAATCCAAAAAATGTGATTAACTTTGATGACCAGAGAGTGAAATTCGATAATATATATCCGGATAGTCCGCATAACAGTCCCTACCCTACGAATTATGAGTCGAAAATGCCTTACAAAAATCAAAATTACCATGAAGAAAAGGATAATGACGTTTACGGAGAACGTTACGCGGAGGATTATAGAGACCAGTCTTATATGACAAAGAAGGTACGACAGTAAATTTTTTTCACTACAAGAAAAGTTAATTTAAAACCACGTACATTTGTTAAAGTTTATAACAATACCGCTTGATGGTGATGGCAAACATTATTATAGTGGGCTGACAAAAACCATTTTGCTAATGGTTTTACCGGAAATCGAACCCGGGACCACTAGATAAAGTGCTAACTATTTATCCAGGGAAGTTACTATTTTTTTAATATTTACTACCCATTCTATTCATTCATTTTAATGAAATTCACTAGGAAATGAAACAATTTTTCCGGATTTAAATTGCGTATATTTGTTTTTTCAAACAATCCGTGACCATGGGACCTGTAAAGGGCCAGAAACGTCGGAAATAGTTTCATTTCCTATGTGTAACAATCGCGAAAACCTAAGAACTCGATATGAAATTCACTAGTTTATTGTAATTATTAATACAAAGATCGAACAGAAAGAAAAATGTCGTTGATTGATGAGATTTTTTCGATTGAATGTTTTGTTAATTTTAAAGTTAATTGATGTGCGTTAAAGAAGACATCTGTTGTTGAGAAGATACTACATTCTATTCCTTCCGATGCTAGTCGTTAGATACCGGCCGCAAGATGGCAGCACGTTAGCAAAGGTATCAACGATATAACAACTGGGTTAAGTATTATTATAGTATTATTATAGTATTATTATAGTATTATTATAGTATTATTATAGTAGTATTATATTAACAGTCCTATGACCGATCATCGTTTTGGCTATGGCGGTTCTGATAGCAATAGACGCCTAACACACTTCCATTGTTTTTTCTTCCGTGGTGGTCCCTTTTACTATTTTCTATTGATATTTTCACACGTCTAGCTCACCTAATGGAAAGTGATTAAGGTTTCTGCACCGTACAACATTTTGGTCAACTTAGCAACCTACTTATTGTACATACAATGCTCAAAAATACAGTCGACAACTCCTTGACAGATAAGCATTCAAATCTTGTTGTACATACATTAACTTATTATGGAAATTCTGGTTTACGTCAACTCAACGTACTTACCTATTCTATCCTGTTAATCAGAGGCCCAAACTCGATGGAGCATGTTCAATCAACTTGTTTTTTTTAATATATAATAGACACACGCTTGGCCACAATCTCATCTGATGTTAAGCGACGATGGGACGCGTTTACCTAAGAAATGCCCATTCACTCTAGCCTTGAATAGCCCCAAATTGTACTTTTCGGGAAATACAGATGCCTAGGTAGAGCATTCCATTCCTTTGCCGTACGCATCAGAAAGGAGGAAGCAAAGCGCTTAGTGCGAATAGGTGGAATATCAACGACATAAGAATGGAGTGTTCCGGACCTTCTAGTTAACCGAAGGAGGAACGGTGAGGGAGGAACTAATTTGAAAACTTCCTGCGCACACTTCCCGAAATGTATCCGATAGAAAAGCAGACTACTTTTCTGCGATGGTAGAGATTTTGTAGCTTCGACTCCACAAGAGAATTGTTGAACTCGTATTATTAGGATGGACCTAGGTGATAGAGTGAATGAAATAAGGTGGTTTAACTTAAACTAGAGACATGTTTTATTGCTCGGTTTCCAGAATATGTGACCAAATAATTTAAATTAAGTTTTTATTGAATTTCAGAATGTCTTACCACAATGGTATATTTAATTATTTTTTGTGAAATTACTCCACTAGCTTGTTATAATTATAAATACAAAGATCGAAATTCCTTCGAACCGACGTCTCTTAGCAAACCATGCGAACTAACGAACGAACCAGCGGACCTCACGAATTTTTATTCTATGTGATCTTTGTTTTTGGTTTTTAACAACTTTTTAGCCGTAGCGACATCTGTGAGAAATCTATGAAAGTATTTCTTCACCCAGTTGGGTGTCTTTACAGCTACCAACAGCTAGCTAGCGATGTCGCTTTTATTTGTAATTAAGTTTTTAAGCCGTTTGTAAGCCGGCTCGAAGCATTTCCTTTTTAAGTGTTCGATCTTCGTATTAGTAATTAAAATTAAAATAAAAAGTAAAGTTAATTGATAACCAAGCAATAGGCTTCACACGTTGCAGTTAGAATATAAAATTATGGTTTACCTATACTACAACTATATAATATCTATTAACTATCGCCTTGAAAACATTTTGGGCACCCATTAATATAAATAAATACTTATTTTAAATTATATGCGATAAAAAATGAAGCTTTTTTATATTAAGTTTATCATTTTCTAAGTTGAAACCTACATTAAAAGTATTTTGATTGAAAAGTCATATTACACAATTGAAGACTACGTGTTAGATATAGATGTATGGAAAGACGACATGAGTCTAAATATGATTCAAAGTGTATTCCATAGCATTTAAGTTTATTTGAAAAGAGCTATGCTGAGTTTCTTGCGTTCTTCTCAGGGAAATCAGCGTAGTGATGAAATGACGTTTTCAAGTGATTATACCTATGGAATAAATAATTATTTGACTCTGACTTGAAGTTTTATGATATCCAGGTGCACGACATCGCCTCCCACGGCAGCGAATACCTGGAAGGCCTGCGACGGTCTGTCGAGGCCTATGAGGAACTCCTCATCAACTGCAGAGCGATGAATTTCACAAATGTAAGTACAGGTGCTCAAACCGGTCAATACCAGCACCATGTTGATAAAAATTCATTCTTAATGAAGTAGAATAGTTTCTCTTATGTTTAGCGCTTGTGCGCATGGCATATAGTTCCTATTCGTTCCGAATCTGAGACTATAAAAATCTAGAAACTTGTGCACTAAGTCCGATACGAATCGGGAAAATACGAAGGTCTCTTGTACACCTGGAGATAATGATCCATGTGACATTTCGGGACGTCATTTCTCGGATTTGGAACGAATAAAGATCGGATACGCGTTTAAAGTCTGATTTTTAATTAGAAATGACAAAATTAACGTTGATTAGGTCTTTCAGGGTTAGAGCTTCTTGTCAAAGAGTTTCTGCAGGGAAATCCGGCCACCTTATCTATTTCTGCCGTCAAGCGGTAACGTGAGCAATACTGCACTCCGGTTTTCAAGGGTAGAGGAGCTGGTGAAATTATATGGGGCTTATCTATTTATGTCTCAGAGTGACGGGCGCAGTGGCAGTGTGTGTGTGATTTAAAACTCGGAGTGGCGCTGCAACTGCTATAGACAGACGTGTCACTTAACCCAGGCTCACTACTTGTTCGTCCCTGCGGTTCACGGCGCATTGTACGCTATTATAACGTTTGTGTGAGACCTCGGCATCTCTTACGTAGTACTATTAAGTAATCTGCGGTTAGTCGGATATTTCGGATAGATGTTTCATATCAGTACAGAGTACTAAAAATACAACCTCCACAGTTCGTGGAATTACATCTATTTGCCAAGTTTTATTGAAATCGGTTACCGGAAAGTGCTCGAAACCGGATTCATCCCCTAGTTTGCCACCCTTAGAGGTGGAATATATTCTTTAAATTTAAGTGGGACCACTAACGAGGTACCCTTCAACAAAAAAGAATCATCAAAATCGATTCTGGAAGTCGATTAAAAAGATGGTTAGTTCTAGTTCAGATACGGTTACATGACCTCTGGCCAAGATCGTGGAGCGTGCAGGTAATTATTACGAAATATCGGGAAAATAAAAAACGTCGTGCCGCGGTCGTATATGTATTTAATCGTTTAGCGAATAACCATGAAAGTATTTATATTGTAGAAAACACGGGCGCGTTAAAGAAGGAAACCGCCGATTTAGGCATCACGCAAAGGTTTAACTACTTTAATGTCTTGTGTCGGATACCAGCAACCGGTAACTAGTGTATTATTGCTTAATTCGATGTAGAATAAATATCAAGCAAAAATGTTAGATTTTTAGGGTTTTAACGTCAGACCTTTTTTTTATTACACAGTATATCCATAACAGTGGCAAAAATCTGGAGAGCACTGCCACTGCGCCCGGCGCCTTCACCACGACACAAATTGACAAGTTCCTGCCTGTAATTTCACCAGATATTGTCACTTTTTTCTGGTTCCTGGCCACTTTTGAAATTTTGAATCGTTCTCTAAACCTTTCTCTTCTTATTTGTGAACGAACTTTTGTATAATGCATTCAGTTTCGTGGTACGGTCGCTTGTACATTTCTTTGGCCGAATTTAACATTTAGTGATATATACGTTAGGCAATACTGTTCTCGATTCTGATCGATTTTGAAAACAAGGGACGAAAATTATTATGACCTTGCTTAGTAACGTTTCGTTTTTGTTTTCAGTTTCGTAGTATCTACTATCAGTAGCATCTGTAATTTCGATAATTTTTGCAGCACGTTGCCTCGAATGTCCGAATATAGTGAGCAAATAATGGCTTATTAATTATTGCTATTATATAATTATTACGAATAATACAAAAAATATATAATGCAAAGAATTAACAGTGCGCTGTCTTTACAAAAACCTGGAGTTGGTCATACATATGAGTTTGTTGCTTTCGAGGACGAAGGTGGTCTAGTTTATCCCACCTAAGATGCTATCCAAATATGCAGAGTAGCAGAGTTAGATATCCGAGAAATAATAAACAAATCACACGCATTTCACACGAGGCCGTCATTAAGTAAACCTCTTTGGATTAATAAGATTTTACCATATTTTGTCAGCAGTAACATTTTCAATTGTCTTGCCATTTATCAATTTGATCAATTACCAACAGAAAACCGTCTAGTAAAATTAATTAAGGCAGTCGCAAGTTCATGTATTGACGTGCGTTTTCATTATTTAAGTTAATCGGTACTTGCGGCGTCTATCTAGATATATGTCTGTGACCTCTCTCCTCCCGCTCTCTTGTTTGTTGGATACAAAGATCGAACAACCTCGGAACGAAATTAGGCGAAAAAGTCGGAGATTCGAGTCCAGTTTTTTTCCAGTTTATTCGACCTCTGTATCAATAATAAAGTTTGTCAATGATAATGATTATGATATATGTATAGGACATGTTGATCTAAAATCTTTTGCCATCTTTCGAGTATTTCTCAAATTCCCTTTCACAAAAATTCCTGTTTACGTTGAAATACAAATTTGCGTACATGAAGTTATCTACAGACACAAATGAAGGTTAACCATTGACTGCCACAGAACGGACGTCCGACACCGGTGCAAAACAACCTTCCGCCAAACGCATATCAGTTTGGTATCCAGCCGTCATTCGTCAATCAGTTTAGCAACCAGCCGCCGAACGCAAACCAATTTAGCAACCAGCCACCAAATGCAAATCAGTTTAGCAACCAGCCGCCAACCGCAAACCAGTTTAGCAACCAGCCGCCAAACGCAAACCAGTTTAGCAACCAGCCGCCAAACACAAACCAGTTTAGCAACCAGCCGCCAAACGCAAACCAGTTTAGCAACCAGCCGTCAAACGCTAATTTTGGGAACCAACCACAAAATCAGCTTGTAAGTCAGGTAGGTAACATTTCTTATTATTTTACTAATATTGTACTGAATGTCATGATGTTTTTGATGATGATGTTACCTCTTTCTGAAAATTCTCCACTAGTTTGTTGTTATTATAGAGGTCGAAGAAACACAAAGAAAAATTCCTTCGATCCGAATGGACTCTAACCAGCTTATGAATTTCTTTACGTGCTTGATGCAGATCTTTATTTTTTGTTTTAACGGTTTTTTGCCGTAACGCCACCTGCGTGGAACCTTTGAAAGTTTTTTCTCCACACAGACGAGAGATGTCGCTTTATTAATTGCAATATTTATTTCATTGAATATCGTGATGATTTTGCTACCGCGATATTCATATATTTGCCGCGTTATCAACAATCGCATCATCGTCGGGTCAGACATAGCGGGAATCTTGAATTATTGCCTCACAATAAGATAGGCGTGTATTCAATCAATTCTTCTTCAATTCGAAATATTATTACAGACTAATAACACAGGTACTCGTTTACATAATTAAATTATCATATCAATTAAACAATGAGTCTTAGGACCATGAGGATAGAAATGGAGTAAAAATGTGAAATATGATGAGTTCGATACTGAGGCCAGCTCAGTAGGTCCGATTCATTTGGTCTCAACAATATGCTGGCTCCGTTTACAGAAAGAAAGAAAGAAAGAAAGACGGGAAGAAAGAAATATTTTTGTTCAAAAACGAAACAGCGCAGCGCATATACAATTAACAATTACCAAACATCATATAACATGAAAAAAAATCGAAATAAAAAACAGAAAAAACATAACAATTACATCTACTTCCTGTTTTTGTGTTATTTGTGTAATACACAATTAACATATTAGACTCATTCTACCAACATCACAATTGACAATTGTCACATCCAGTTCTACTAGCTCTGTATTGACCACGTTCAAGCGTACTGCTTGACATTTCTCCAGACTAGTCGATAGGTGGCGTTGTAATTAATTACTAGGCAATCCTAGATCTACAATTAACTGTTAGGTGGCGCTGCTGTAACGATGATGGGACTTAATTTTATCTGATTTTTGTTCCGACACGAACTTTGATTCAATTTCCATATGCCAGCGCCAAAGTTGTCAGTAACAATGTCGTCATCTTGATTAATTCCGCAGGTACCAATAACTACAAGAGCCCTAATACCAGGCTTCAGACGCCTGACATCCATAACCACACCAATGTTTCAACCGAGTCCGCAACAGTGTGAACGCGCCACACAAGCTCGCGAGCATGTTCGCCGGCTCGCCGAACTTGTTGTCTGGGCGACCAGGGAGCTTGAGGATAGGGCGTATGCTAAAAAATATGACGGGGTATGTTTCTTAACCTAATTTAAATAATTTCTTTTATAATATCAAGTGACGGGACGTCAAGTTGTACGACTGATGGTAAGCTAGACGCCTGTCCATAACAGTTGCAGTGCCACTCAGAGCTTTAAATCGCAAAGATTCGAGGGGCACTGCCATTGCGCCCGTCACCTTGAGACATAAGTTGACAAGTCCCATGTGTCTGTAACTTCCTAACTGGAACACAGTAATGCTGACATTAATGCTTGGCGGCAGAAATAAGTAAGGCGGCAGTACTTCCCTGGATTGCTAATTTCGCCAGAATGTATCTAGGGGTCTTTTGTCTTGTCAACAAGCGGTTTCTAGAAAGACCAAAGGATCTGGGGGTTCTGGGTAGTGTCTCCGAAGTTGTGTTATCCTGTTACTCATAATGCGGGGTATTCATAGTATACACCAGTGTGAGACCAGGTTTTCGGTAGAATTCTCTGGCATCTTTATAGGGAAGTTCAGAAAGTTTAGCAGTGAAGATCTTCTATGCGGCTGATCACGCAAGTGACTCTTCCACTGGATACTTTATGGGTTAAAGAATGCGTTTTAAAATACATATGGCTACATCTAGTTATGGAAAGAACAAACTAAAAATAAAATTAATCAATAAAAAAATATTCTCCAATTAATTTAAAGTCGACAAGAATGAACTTCGTTTTGAAATACAACAAGTATTCGACATTTTTAAGAAGAAGAAGGGTTACATAGTTTTAATGGTAGGTAAAGATTACGGAAGGCTCAAACTAAAACTTTAGAGAAACCTAGAGAATACCCTGAAGATGTGTACTTAGGTGTTACTAAATATTGTAAAATATTCTCTAAAATTAATGTAATAAACAATGATCTTATGTACCTACGTAAATAAGTGGCAATTAGCAAGAAATAGATTTGTATATACTAATATAAACTAAGTAAATATTTTTTTTTTGTAAATAAAATTATTTTCTCGGTTTTTTCCGAACAAAACAACGCTTCGGGCCCTTTACAGGTCCCCTGGTCACGGCTGACTGAGATGGTACCCCTACACTCTATTCTAAGGTATAACGTTACAAAATTGAGTTCTTAGGTTTTTGCGATTATTATACATAGGAAATTAAACTAGGAATATTTTCCACGACTGTCACACGAGGCATGTAAAGGGCACAAAACGTTGGTTTCTTTGAGAAAATAGTGTCATTTCAAATTTGCAAAAATTACTAATTTAAACGACTTGTTTTTATTTTAACAAAGGATATTCCAATTTACGCTACATAACATTTGCAACATACTTTAATTAACAGTAAAATAGTTTCATTAAACCTACTTTTACTTCCATTGATCTTTCGTAAGTTCATAAGATTGCAACAAAACAGACGTGCGCATCTTTGACATGGTTTGTTTTGTAATTAATTTGTATATATTTGAACTTTATATTTAACTGCCTCTGTGGCCGAACGGATACCATACCTTGAGGTCCAGGGTTCGATTCCCGGACCGAGAGAAATATTTGTGTTGCCTACACTTATTTCTCTCGTGATAATATGTGATTGTCTATGTGTGTGCCCATGACACCCGCGACGCAGGGTTTCCCTAGTGCGAGGCTATGAGTTAGTGCGTAAAAAAATTATATTTTTAACGGACTGAAAAAAAGGAGGAGGTACTTAATTCAACGTGTTTTTTAATGATTCTTTTTTTGTTGGAACGAGGGTACCTCAGTATTGGTCCTATTTAAAATTTGAAGAAAATATTCCTACTCTAAGGGTGGCAAGCTAAGGGATGAATGCGGTATCGCGCACCTTCCGGTAACCGATTTCAGTACAACCTGGCAAATAGACGTAGTTCCAAGAACTTTTGAGGTCGGTTTGTAGTACTCTGTACTGTACTGAGATAATTCTAGTTAACATATCACCGCAGTTGTAATACATATATCAACGTTTTTGCAGCATCATGATGATGACGATGAAGAGGAAGACGAGGAAGAAGCGGAGCTGCTCCTCAAACTAGCTTGGTTCCTAGACCGGCTCGCATATCTAACTGGTTTCGAACCAAACCCAAAGAAATACATCACCACTCCGCCACCACGTAAGTTCTGGACACACGTTTTCCCTACAGGGTTGTCCAGGGCTACCTTCTTCGACGTGTAGTTTTCATCACCATGTTTTGAAGAAAAGTAATTGTTGTTCCACTAGGCTCCGCTGTAAAAGACAATATCATACAAGTTTAAGAAGGGTACGGGTGCTAGTCAACTCTTGCCTCAAGGTGACGGGCGTAGTGGCAATGCCCGTCAGGTCTTAGTGATTTAAAGCTCTGGGTAGCACTGCAACTGTTATGGACAGGCGTGTCGCTTACCATCGGATGGTTCTGCGAAATACCATTTGGATTCAGTTGAAAAACGTGTCAAAAGTACACCACCGAAAAGTTGCCTGCTTATCGGTGTTCTACAAGATAGGTATATCGCCGAGAGTGTGCAATGGACTTGTAAGGTTTAGTTCCGCCTTTCAACCCTACGTAGAGGAAGTATAGCATGTACTGATGGAGTGTGAATGAAACGGTTCTCTTAGACTTGATGAAGCTGCTATGTGTGACCTATTTAGACAAGTTGGCGGATGCAACGGCGTCTTGGCCTTTCCTTTAGAAAGAGAAGCCAACATGCTGATATAGATTGGTCGAGAGAGGCTTGAAGTTAAGGCAACTATAAGCTGCTTCAATTCTCTCTCTACTCTATTACATGTATAGAGCCGCGTAGTCGCATTTTGTGGCAATGCTTGTTAAATAAAGAAAAAAAACACCCCCCTTTCCATATTCCAAAGATTCCACTCCTTAGGCGAACGCCTAAGGAGTGGAATTCTTAACCCCTGAAAGACGACCTCCACGATCGAGTGGCTTGCATATCGGTTTTCATGGTGTCACCATCTCTAAGGTCCCGGGTTCGATTCGAGTCAATTCAGAAAAGTATATTATGTCGGGGCTAGGTGTTTGCGGTTCTTTTTGTAATATCAAGTGACGGGACGGCCTGGCCATAAATTGCAAAGATCTGAGGGGCACTGCCACTGCGACCGTCACCCTGAGACATAAGTTGTCAAGTCCCATGTGCCTGTAATTTCACCAGCACCCTTAAACCTTCAAAACCGGACGACAGTAATGCTGACATTACTGCTTGGCGGCAGAAACAGGTAAGGTGGCAGTACTACCTACCCTGGACGAACTCTTTCACAAGGAGCTTTACTATCATTAAAAACCGAAACGCAGTATCGTTGTTTCTGATTTCCATACCACAAGTTCTTTAGTTACTCACTTTGGGATATTATGAGCTACGTATATGATGTTGTCTAATTGTCTAACATACTTATACTTAATATTGAACGTTACAATCTGGGCTTTTTCAAGGCGAGAGTGGATAGGCATTATTTAGGTATGCACATTACATCGTCGACCTCGTCGTCACTTTTCATCAGGTGCGGCAGATATACAAAACATATTTGTGTTGCAAAAACGAGCAATTCGTTCTTTGTACCGTTTAGGTTCTCGGGTTTCTCTCAGAGAAAAGTTTAAGGAGACTGGTATCACGACTGCGGCATCACAGTACATTTACGCAAATATTTTGTATGCCCGTAATAATATACATAATTTCATTAAGACAGAAGTAATCCATAAACCTTACAACTAACTACAAACAAACTCACAGTACCACGATTTCGTTTAACTAAGATAAACAATTTTCTTTCGGGGAACTGTATACGTTTTTACAATAAGATTCCGGAGCATATAATTAAGATTATCATTTTCTAAGTTTAAAACTTACATTAAAGGGATTTTAATTTAAAAGTCATATTATAAAATTGAATTGTATGTGTTAGATAAAGTTGTATAGAAAGACAACACGAGTCTAGATTCCACACAATTGTGAATCAAAGTGTATTCCATAACATTTAAGTTTATTTGAAAAGAGCAATCCCTAAAGTTTCTTGCTCGTTTTTCTCAGGGAAGTCAGCTTGAAAAAATGAGGTTTTCAAGTATAAAAATTTTTACCTATGAAGGATTGACGGAGGTAAAATGCGCTTATCTTTTATTTAAAAAAACCCGCAGGAACAACAACCACGACACCACAACCCGGCAGTTTAGCACTGGTGCCTATCCCGCAGCCAGTGACGCAGTTCTACATAAACTGTCTCAAAAACTCTTCGTCACCCCTACCGGCTGTTGAAAGGTGCACCTTCCCTAACCCTATGCCTGAGGAATTAATAAGACTTTTTAACATTACTAGTGAGTATATCTTTTTTTTTTCATTAATTTGTTTTGGCATACAACATAAAAAGAGAATTCACTTCGAACTAATACTAACTATAACACAAACTAAGCAGCGTTAAAATATGTTATTGAAAAATAAACAGAATACACCGACAAAATGTAATCATATTCAAGCAAACAATCAAGAACTCGGTTAACGTGCCCGCTATACTCGAGCCAAGCGGCATGTCGCGAACAGATGGCAAACGCCCGGACGGAATGACTCTCATCCCTTGGAGTATGGGCCAGGTGTGGAACGCCAAGTATGCCGACACACTTGCCCCATCCCATCTCCAGCACACCGGGAAGAGGGCTGGGTCCGCAGCTGAGCTGGCAGAAAGAATAAAGAGTAATAAGCACCAGGACTTTGGCTCGGGCTTCCTGTTTCAACCCTTTGGAGTCGAAACTCTTGGCCCGTGGCCCGTGGCCGGTGCCCTTCATCTTACAATTTTTTTTCAAAACAATTAATGAACTGTTTAGAAACACCAAGAGCCACCTCTCGCAGCTTCCTCGCCCAACGCATTAGCATAGCAATACAAGGGGGGAACGCTGCCAGCATCTTGGACAAGGACCAAGGGCGCGGGGACCCAATTTTAGTCATTTAATTTTATTCTAGTTTTAGTTTGTAGTATTTAAGCTTTTATTGTACATACCAAAGTATTTTTACTTATTACATCTTAGCAAGTCTTAGCAAGGGAAAAAATCCTGTGTTTTCTATGTCAGAAGAATTACGTAAAAAGAAATGCCAATAGTAACTAAAATACATAATAATTATAAACAGAAACATATACATATATCTAAATCGAATAGGTAATTCCACAGTTGGTCAAATCAAATATGTGATCAATTTTTGTCCCATCCATGGTTATATGTCATACAGCCCTAATTATTTAAATATGTGTGCATTATTTGTATTTATAAAAAGTCCAGAAGTATTTCAAATTACAGTTTGACAAGAGCAAATCATTATGGTATTTCCGAATGATGGAATAGTTTTTAAAACCAAATTTTTTAAACTGCATGAGGTCGCTTTTTAATTTATAACATGCGATTTATGATAAAAATGGCTAACAGTTTTCGGTAAAATATAAATTAAAATTGTAGAGTATTACATTCGGTTGTTTTCGTATTTTTATTTGCACAAAAGTTTTCTGTAGTAATTAACGCAGTAATATTCATATATTAAGTAACCTCATTTTTAATTTACTTTTCAGAGCTCTACTAAGGCGTAATTAATGACTGGAAAATATTTTTGACAGCTCCCACGACATCTACCACGTTACCACCTGACGATATGGGAGTCCTACCGCAAAACACCCAGAGGCCAGCCGCGTCAATGCTGTCAGAAGTTCTCCTGCCAGCTGAAACGTCAAAAGTGACGGCTGTCAAATCTATCAAAAAGCGATCTTTAACTGACAACCCCATGTTGTATTTCATGAAATATTACGCAAAGCATAAAGTTTGGCACAACGATAATACGGATTTGGGTAATGGTAAAAATTCTAACGATTATCATGCGACAAAATATTTGGGAAATGACGCCTTTAATGTTAATAATGAATTAATTGAAAGTGACAAGAAAAAAGTAAAAAGATCGGTAAAAAAATTTGAACATTTGCGTCTGCCCGAAGATCCTTTTCAAAACATAAGTTATGTTGTTAAACATAAAACGCAAAAAAGCGTCAATTATGTGAAAAACGACGGTGAAGCTCTCAAAATGAAAGCTATTTTTGATAAAATGCGCAAAAGCGACGGCTTAATTGCAAAAAACAGTCTAAAGAATCTACAAAGAACTCTTAAAAATGTTCAAAAACGGTCTATTGATTTTACAAAAGTGTTACCATTGAATTCTGTAGAAAATTCCAAAAATACAAAAACATATCTTATTGGCAAATTCCGGCCTGACAAAGGTTATTATAAAAAAGTACACAAACGATCTGTAGATTATGCCAAAAAAGTCTTGCCTGAAAAAAGTAGAGATCCGCAAGGTGATATAAGTTATTATGTTAAAAATAAACCAGGAACGAACTTTAATGCGGATCCAGTGCAAACAGCTCAAGCGAGGGCCGCATTGGAGCGAATGTTCCAAAATCCCAACATTGAAATAGTACGCAGATACGGATCTAGGGGTCCAGTATATGCAAATGTTATATTAGAGGGGGCTCTTCTTACTTTCGGTGATTTCGGACCTTAGGGACATCAAGTCATTTTCGTTGATTCTCATTGATGGTCGTTGATTTGGTGATGGTATTGGCTATTTTTTTGCAGTTCAAGAAATTGGCTTCATGGCGAAACTGGCATAGAAATTAAGACTATAAATTTATTAACTTTCTAGGTTGTACTCGATCGTAAATAGCATGGTGTTTTTAACAGATCGTTTTAGTGTAACAAACACGTTTAGAAATTATAAAATTAAGTTTATATTACACTCATTAAAGCGACTTCTCTAGTTAGAGTTGGTAGTTGTAAAGGTACCTAGCTGAGTGAAGAAAAACTATCATAGATTTCTCACAGATGGCGCTACGACAAAAAGTCGTTAAACAACCGGAAAGCGAAGTTCTGTAACAAGCACAGACATCTGCCTTTCGCCAACTAAAACGCGGCTACGTGAGAAAATAATTTATTGAGATATCAGAAAAAACCATAACCCACGTACGTTCCAATAACACGTTAACTAATTTTAACTGTTTTTAAAAGTGAATTTTGTGCTCTATTTTTTGCTATTTAAACGGTTATTTGACCATTTGTCACTTAACCGCGTTATAGTTAGTGGACGGCAGACATAATACATATAGGTATTGTCTATGAATAAGCACATTGAAAAATTAGTTGGGTCTGATGAGTCGTTCCGTAACTCAGTTGGGAGCGCGTCGGAATGGTATGCTGAAGACGCAGGTTCGAATCCAACCCGATCGAAGGACTTTTTATACATCATTGCATTAATAGTTTTAATAGGAATTTTTGTGAAAGGACAATTTTAAAACTACATGACAGATAGCAAAAGATTGTAAATCAACACGGCTAATACATAATTGATTCAAGTTTGATATTTATGTTTTTCATTATACTTTAATACCGCACGGACTCTTCAGTCGAACCAATGTTTAAATTAATATTGTCAGGATCATGCGTATTTTAATTTTGTGTTTTTGCGTCTCATGGTTAAAGGACTGCCATTTTCACATATTTATATATATGACATTAATTTGTACATCGTTTTTTCTTTATGTTGTATGTCAAATAAAGCAATCTAGATTTTTTTATTTTCTTATTTTTTAAACTTCAATGCGAAATGATAGTGGTCATAAGCTTGAAGCATAACTAATATAATAATCTCAGTACAGACTACTAAAAAAACCGACCTCAAAAGTACGTGGAATTACGTCTAGTTGCTAAGTTTCATTGAAATATCCCCTAGTTCGCCACTATACAGGACTTGATACTGGAGATAATATAAATAGGTTCTCACTACGACACTACTCAAAGTATATCGAGAGAAAAACGCCTTGAATTGGAGAAATAGCAAAATCAACTAAATAATTGCTAAAAGTAATTGCTCCTAAATTAAAGTTAGGCGCTATTTATAAAAATGAATCTTCATGCGTGAACAGCCACCCTTCGAGGTGGATGATTTTCTTCGAAATGAAGTGGGACCACTATGGAAATACCCCGTTTCCAACAAAAAAAGAATCATGAAAATCGGTTCACAAATACCGGAGTTATCGCGTAACATACATACAAAAAAAAAAAAAAAAAAAAAGAACATACAGTCGAATCGAGAACTCCTCCTTTTTTGAAGTCGGTTAATAAGAAGAAGAATGATAACTCCACACAAACGTGGCAGCGCGGCCTCTATGTGTGCACGCGCTATTACTATAAACTTCGCACAATAGTAATATAATAAGTAATAATAATAATGCACACACTCATAGCCCTACACTGAATAGGCAAACCCTGTGTCGCGGGTGCCATGGACACACATATAGACAACCACAAATTACGCCCAAACTCACAACAAAAATACACTTATACCATACAAATATTATTGGGTCAACCCGGAAATTGAACCCGGGACCTCTGCGTGGCAGACCAGCTTGGTAACCGTACGGCCACGGAGTCAGTTAAACAATACGCTACACCATCTATATAAACTATACTACAAATATATAATTTTTTTCCTTGTGTTTTTTTGTGTTAATATAAAAAATACGTGTTTTTGTTTTTTTTTTATCTTGCCTAAGTTCGCGGTGCGTCAAAAAGTTTGGGAACCGATGCGCTACACGCACGTAAGTCCTGTAAAACCTACCAATCTGCTACGTACAAGTTGTCGCTCGGGTGGCGGTACCAAAGGGTTTTAGCGCGTTAAATATCGTGCTGCGTGGTCGGTCTAACGTTGACTGATATTTAGAATCGATTTTTTGAATCGTAATGCTCCTAAATCGATCCACAGTTCGGATCATAATTATTGTCTTCAATCGACTTCATAAAAGTCATTTAAAAATTAATTTTGATAAAAAGAATATAATTTTGACAGCCCTTTCGGCCCCAGTCGGTTACGACTTTCGACTTAGATGATATTAACGAGTGAGAAAAGACGACCAGACTAGACATACACAAACTCGGTACGGATAATTTTTATTCATAATTTACTGTATAAATATTTTTGTATACATTAAATCTGACTAGACTTATTGTACTTTAGATATTGCCAAACTACTTTTCCTGCAGAACAATATAAAAGCCACAGTTTTGTTTAAATTATGAATACGATCTAGATTATTCGAATCAGCTTAATGTCGAATCGATTGCTTATCTTGTCTGCTTATCGATCTTCATAATAATCGAATCGTAATGACGGATTAGACGCACTGTAAATTTTTTTTCATGATACCAAGTGACTGGACGAACAAGTCGTGAGCCTGGTGGTAAGCGACGCGCCTGTTCATAACAGTTGCTGTGCCACCGTGAGCTTTAAATCATAACGATCTGAGAGGCAATGCCAATGCGCCCGTCACTCTGAGACATAAATTGACAAGTCCCATATATGTGGAAGTAATGCTCACATCACGGCTTGGCGGCTGACATAGGTAAGGTGGCTGTACTACGCTGGACGAACTCTTAAATAACGGAGTAAAGCGACAAAATGATGTTGGAGTTTTTACACAATTTGGAAGCTGAACCCATAGTACGGGCTCCAAAGAATGTCCACCACGTATACGCGCCTACTTCTAGCAACCGAGCAAACACGAGAGATGTGTGGTGCGGCGTGAAACCGGCTCCAGGCGGCGATGGACCGCTCATGAAAGCGATTTATCACTTGTCATCAGGGTCTATTACTAAATCTATGGTATATTGTTATTTCGCATATTTTTCAAAAAAATATGTAGCCAGCAGTGTTCATATATTTTCATTACGTTCAATTTGAATACTCCCTCTAAACACACCATAAAACCATTATTGTTAACATGTAGAACTAAAAAGTCGTTGAAAGACCAAGTACAAAGACACGACGCAAGCACATAGAAAAATTCGTGAGGTCCGTTGGTTCGTTCCGTGGCTTAGTTGGTATAGCGTCTGGCACGGTATGCAAGAAGACGTCGGTTCGAATCCGACCGGATCGAAGGAATTTTTTCTGAGTGTTTTTTCTGAATGTTCGATCTTTGTATTAATAATTATAACAAACTAGTGGAGTAATTTTAAAGAATTTAATTAATGTAGAAGTAAATGAAATCGTCAATATAGCAAACACATCCAGAAATTGCATTACGGCCATCTTGGATTCTTACCTGATAATTCGTGCGTCAACCACATTATACGCGATAACTTTTTACTAAGCCTTTTAGCGAACAAAACATGCTTCACCAGCACTTTTACCCTTCAAAACCGGAACGCAGTAACACTCTCACATTACTGCTTCGCGGCAGAAATTGGTAAGGTGGCAGTACTTCCCTGGACGACCTCTTTCACAAGGAGCTCTACTGCTACTTTACTTTACTTTCACGTCTCGCGTATTGCACGCGGGTCGCCCTGTCGCATCTGGCACTCAGTGTATATTCAAGAATTGCTACCTATTCTAAATAATTGGTACCTTTGATATATTCCGAGAAATAAAAAAATGACTAACCATTCTGATATCAGGTTGGCTGGTCGCCACTTTGTTCAGCATGAAGGGAGCAGATTTTCCATAAGTGCTACTAATAATTGCTACCTATTTGCTACTTTCACGAATTAAAGGTCTACGCGTCTTATCTACGTTACTTAAAAAAATATAACCGATTGAAAATTTTACGAAAAAGCGCCTGATCAAATTAAAAAGCAAAAGTTTTTAGTGGTTTATTGCCATAATACAAAGGGCAGGCGTTGGCACTTCTTCGTCTTTGGTCAAGTATTTTTTTTATTTCTCAGAGTATATAAAAGGTAACAATTATTTAGAAAAGGTAGCAATTCTTGAATATACACTCGGTGCCAAATACGACAGGCGACCAGCCATCCTGACGGTCACGATTTACACGCGAATTTGAAACTCACGCGGTACTTATGGATGCGATGTATAATTTTCACTGTCTCGCCGAATACGTGTGAGAGAGAATTCGCTCCTTCTGGACAAAGTTGCTCGAATAATATGGTATAATAAAATATCCATTAATTATACAAAAATATATATTTCTTATGAAGGTAATATGGATTCAGAACGACAGGTGAATGTGCAAACGCAAAAAAGAAAAACAAAACAATTACAAAAATGATAATTATTCAAAAAGTATCATTTTTAAACGAATGTAATTTTTTAATGTTTTCCTTTATTTTAATATCTAGATTATAAAATGCTTCGATACATCTTCACTGAAATAAAAAAGAATAAACAACAGTAATTAAACTAATAAAAATCAACAAACAAGTTCGTAGGTGGATTCGATTGTACTTTTTAGGGTTTAAAATATTATTTACAAATATTGTTGTTGG